CCTCCCCCCCCTGCCATTAGGGGGTGGAAATATCCCTCTTCCTTGCCCACTGGCTTCAGAGCCCCCCTCACTGGGGTGATTCCTGCCCCTAGCTGGTTTTACCCAGTTTGTGAACACTGGGAGGGTTGAGCTTCATTGGCTGCTCACCCTTTGTGGTGAGCTAGAGTCCAGGAGTGGCTGAAAGCTTTTCTGTAACAATGATTTTAACTTGATTCTTGACAGAAAGGAAATATCCCTCTTCCTTGCCCACTGGCTTCAGAGCCCCCCTCACTGGGGTGATTCCTGCCCCTAGCTGGTTTTACCCAGTTTGTGAACACTGGGAGGGTTGAGCTTCATTGGCTGCTCACCCTTTGTGGTGAGCTAGAGTCCAGGAGTGGCTGAAAGCTTTTCTGTAACAATGATTTTAACTTGATTCTTGACAGAAAGGAAAGGTGATGTCAGTGTTCCCATTTGTGGAAATGCAGAATACCCAGTGGATGTGATGCTGGAAATGGCCAAACTGTTAAATGGTTTGATCTTGAGTCCTCGTGGCTGCTGCAGCCCCGTTAAAGGCCTGTCACGCTGAGCTGGCTTCTGGGGAGTGACTTTAACTGTGTCATGCACAGGAAGAAAAAAGCATTTGAGGGCATTCCAGGGAACTGCTGTCATGTAAGAAAAGCCAGGCACAGGTTTTAAACCTTCAGTGGCACATCTGGTGGCACATCACACTGAGGGGACTATTATACAAATGTGTCCAAAAGATGAGAAGGTTTCATCAATACAAGAAGAGGCAACTCAGAAAATACTGTATTTATCATTTACATTCTCTCTCAAATTTTGGTAGGTAGGTGAAGCACTTAAAGTTCCAACTGATCCCCATCCAAGAGCTTGAGCAGTGCAGGGAGAGCAAACCTGTCCTGGACTTGCAAAGAAAGAGGAGGCCTGGCTGCACAGGGAGCCGATGGCAAAGTGTTAGGTTATTTTTACAGAGGGTTTAAAAAGCATTATGATTCTTTTTAAGGGCCAAGAAAAGGATCTCTACCAACTGTGAAGATGTGGTTTGATGAAGATTTTTGGCAGCAGGGCTTGTAGAAATGGCCACCAATTGGTGAACAGGCTTTGGGGACATGATACTGTCTGGGTTCAGGCCTCGTTAGGGTTTCCATGTTGTACATTATGGATGTGCTTCAAAATCCCTCACAATTTAATGAGTGCAAAAAGCTGCTTGAATTAATGAGTTCATCTCTGGCTTGGTGAAAAACTGTCACCTTCACGTGTTCCTCCTTTGTTCCTGTTTCAGGTTTCTAGCTTGGGATCCTCCATCGAGCGGGTGGCCCCACTCCCAGGCCTGCTGCCATGTCGAAGCTGAAGAGCTCCGAGTCGGTGCGCGTGGTGGTGCGGTGCCGGCCCATGAACAGCAAGGAGAAGACAGCTTCCTATGAGAAGGTGGTGAACGTGGATGTCAAGTTAGGGCAGGTCTCGGTGAAGAACCCACGGGGAACATCTCATGAACTGCCTAAAACCTTCACCTTTGATGCTGTGTATGACTGGAATTCCAAGCAGGTTGAGCTCTACGATGAGACCTTCAGACCTCTCGTGGACTCCGTCCTGCAAGGGTTTAATGGGACAATCTTTGCCTATGGGCAGACTGGGACAGGGAAAACTTATACAATGGAAGGGGTGCGTGGTGATCCTGAAAAAAGGGGGGTCATCCCAAATTCATTCGACCACATCTTCACCCACATCTCCAGATCTCAAAACCAGCAGTACCTGGTTAGAGCATCGTACCTGGAAATCTACCAAGAGGAAATCAGAGACTTGTTATCGAAGGATCAGTCCAAGAGGCTGGAGCTGAAGGAGAGGCCAGACACGGGGGTGTACGTTAAGGATTTGTCCTCCTTTGTGACGAAAAGTGTCAAGGAGATAGAACACGTGATGAATGTGGGGAACCAGAACCGCTCGGTGGGGGCCACCAACATGAACGAGCACAGCTCCCGTTCCCACGCCATCTTTGTGATCACCATAGAGTGCAGCGAGCTGGGGCTGGACGGGGAGAACCACATCCGGGTGGGGAAGCTCAACCTGGTGGACCTTGCGGGCAGCGAGCGGCAGGCCAAGACTGGGGCCCAGGGGGAGAGGCTAAAGGAAGCCACGAAAATCAATCTCTCTCTCTCAGCTTTGGGCAACGTTATCTCTGCCCTGGTAGATGGCAAGAGTACCCACATCCCCTACCGGGACTCAAAGCTGACCAGGCTGCTGCAGGACTCCTTAGGTGGCAACGCCAAAACGGTGATGGTGGCCAACATTGGCCCTGCCTCGTACAACGTGGAGGAGACGCTGACGACGCTGAGATACGCCAACCGTGCCAAGAACATCAAGAACAAACCACGAGTGAACGAGGACCCCAAGGACGCTCTGCTGCGAGAGTTCCAGGAGGAGATTGCTCGCCTGAAGGCACAGCTGGAAAAGAGGTCCATTGGGAAAAGGAAGAGGAGGGAAAGAAGGAGAGATGGTGGGGAAGAGGAGGAGGACACTGAGGAGGGTGAGGATGAAGGAGACGACAAAGATGACTATTGGAGGGAGCAGCAGGAAAAGCTGGAGATTGAGAAGAAGGCAATAGTTGAAGATCACAGCCTCGTAGCAGAAGAGAAGATGAGGCTGCTGAAGGAGAAGGAGAAGAAAATGGAGGACCTGAGGCGAGAGAAGGAAGCGACAGAAATGTTGAGTGCCAAAATCAAGGTAGAATTCTTCCTTGTCATACTTTTTGAAAGCAATTTATTTGGGCTGTGGGGAGAATAGAGGGTTTCCCAATTTGGAAGGATGTTTCACAAGAAGTTTCCAGGATATTGATTTGTGTTTAGGTTGGAAGATTTTAAAACAAACCATTTCTAGACAGAAGTTGGAATTTCCACCATTAATTCCATATTTCAATGTTCATGAATTGCTGCATTGTTCTCGTGTGCTGGTCTTGGGGGATCTCAAGCACTCAACGAGTGGAGGGTGATGATCCATCTTGCGCCACAGGCTGTGGCACAAAAAATGCCTCTTCCTGTCTCAGATCAGCAGAAAGTTCTTGACAGGGGAGTCCACGTTTTGGTTCTTCAGCTTGGCCACACGTGGCAGCAGGGCCTCCTGTGCAAGTGACTGTTACATGAATCCCACAGCTTTATAGGAAGCTTAAGAAATGGGAATTCTTGTAGCAGCAGTTACATTTTGTGGTCACTGCCAGAAAAATCCAACCTTGGTTTTCCCTTTCAGGCAATGGAAAGCAAACTTCTGGTGGGAGGGAAGAATATTGTGGATCACACAAATGAACAGCAGAAAATCCTGGAGCAGAAACGACAGGAAATTGCAGAACAGGTACCAGGAAGAACATTTGTTCTTTTGTACAAAAAGCCAAACTGCACAACTTCCACACCAATTGTGTCAGGAGAAACTGTAAGAAAGTTTCCCCAGGGTTAACCCTGGAATGGGTTGGTGCCAATCCTTTATCCCAAAGGCAGGGGGAAGGCCTCATGTCCTGTTTGTCACTGTATGAAACAGGTAAAGGAGGTTTGTAATAGTTTTCTTCCAGCTTTTCACCTTAAAGACATCTGTCCCGACTTGACTGGAGCTGTCTGCAAGTGAAGAAGTAACTGGAAGCCTCAGCGATGGCCCAGCCATTGGCTCAAGGGAGGGATGTTTATTGTGTGGGGCAAGTTTCTTTTCTGTTACATATTTTCTGTTGGTGGTTCTTTAAGTGCACTGACTGATACAAATAGATACAAAGGAAAAAAAGGAAAATACTTTAAACGTGGCATTTGGTTCTTTTCATTGAAGCCTGAGCACTCATTCACCCTGTCAGGAGCAAAACAAGGACAAACAGGAGTTAATGCTTCTGGTATCCCTAAGGCAAGAGGTAGGAAGAACCTGAAGCTGAAGCCAAAGCCCTAGAGCACAGGGAAGTGAAACCACCCTGAGCATTGGTGTGGAGGTGGCAGTGTCGTTGTGTCCCTGGGATCTTCAGCATTGTGTGTCACTCTGCAGAAACGCCGGGAGCGGGAGATCCAGCAGCAGATGGAAAGTCGGGATGAGGAGACTCTGGAGCTGAAGGAGACCTATAGTTCTCTTCAGCAAGAGGTGGACATAAAGACCAAAAAGCTCAAAAAGGTAAAAAAAAAAAAAAAGATGGCAGGTTTAGGGTGTTGGGAATGAAATCGGCTGGAGTGTGAAAGTGCCAGGGACACTGGCAAGTCCTGACTTTGACTCTTGGCTGTTCCAGTTATTTTCCAAGCTGCAAGCTGTGAAGGCAGAGATCCATGATCTCCAAGAAGAGCACATCAAGGAGCGCCAGGAACTGGAACAGACCCAGAACGAACTTACCAGGGAACTAAAGCTGAAGTGAGTCCCATCACTTCAGTGCTGGCCATGAGCTGTCAGTTTCTCTGGAGAGTGGAGGGAGGGGCTGCAAGGCATGTGCTTGTGGAACAGGAGTTCAACAGGAGAAAACAAAACCATTCCTCCTTTTCCAGGGTTGTATTAAGTCAGTGGAGAAATTAATCTGCTAATTATGTTTCTTGTGTATTTCCTGTTTTTCTGCTTTTGTGTAGGCACTTGATTATTGAAAATTTTATTCCCTTGGAAGAAAAGAATAAGATAATGAACAGATCATTCTTTGATGAAGAGGAAGACCAGTGGAAGCTGCATCCAATAACCCGTCTGGAGTGAGTGTGCTTCTCATCTCTTCCTAGGGTGGAATTGTAGGTCATAGAAAACCCTCTAGCTGTCAAGAACAGGGAATGTCACAAGAGGAATTGAGTTGGAGATTTACATTGGCCCTTCAGGGTTCAGAGCTTCTTGCTGCACAATAAAATAAAAATTCCTCTTAGTAGGTTGAGTAAAAGAGGAATGTAGAGTTAGGAGAATTCTTGGAAGATTAGGATTTTTCTTCTAGATGACCCAAATAATTATGTGTAAAATATATGCAATAGTGTCTTTCCCATTAAAACATCAGTGGATTTCCACTGTATTTCTTTCCTGTTTTAGATAGGAAAGCTCTCAAAAATAATACGTATGCAGAAATGCTGCCCTTGTGCAGGGGACGGATGGGACAGGATCACCCCTTGGTCCCCTTGTCTCTGCCTCCTGCAGAGCAGTTTGTGCTCACTTGGAACAGATTGATCCCACACAGATGTGTGGGATTTGCAGAACATAGAATCATAGACTGGTTTGGGCTGGAAAAGACCTTAAAGATCATCTAATTACAACCTCCTGCATGGGCAGGGACACCTCCCACCAGCCCAGGTTGCTCCAAGCCCCATCCAACCTGCCCTTCAACACTTCCAGGGATGGGGCAGCCACAGCTTCCCTGGGCAACCTGGGCTAGGGTCTCACCACTCTCACACTAAAGAGTTTCCTCCTAATATCCAACCTCAGTCTCCCCTCTTCCAGTTTTAATCCATTCCCCCTGGCCCCATCCCTCCCTGCCCTTGTCCCAAGTCCCTCCCCAGCTTTCCTGGAGCTCCTTCAGGCACTGGAAGGTGCTCTAAGGTCTCCCCGGAGCCTTCTCTTCTCCAGGCTGAATGTTGTAGCTCATGAACTCCAAGAAGAGTCTTTGGTCTTGGTGTGCAACAGACTGAGTACCCATTTTTCCCCAGCAACCAGCAGATGATGAAGAGGCCTGTCTCTGCTGTGGGGTACAAACGGCCCCTGAGCCAACACGCCAGGGCATCCATGATGATCCGCCCAGAGGCGCGGTACCGGGTAAGCCCAGATGTGCTCACAGCCTTCCTGTCCTCACCCCCCTCAGTGGGAATTTCAGAGCATTGTTAGTTCTTCCATGGTCTGTACATTTTCACCGGGTCCTGCACACATTTATAAAGCATTTCAAAATCAGCTTCTGGAGGGAAAAGAAGCAGTCAGTATGGCTGTGACCCTGCTTTGCCTGCCTTAGGCCGAGAACATCGTGCTCCTGGAGCTTGACATGCCCAGCCGGACAACGAAGGACTACGAAGGGCCAGCCATTGCTCCCAAAGTCCAGGCAGCTCTGGAAGCAGCTCTGCAGGAAGAAGATGAGATACAGGTGGACGCTTCAACCTTTGAGAGCACTTCCAATAAGAAAGCAAAACCCAGGTGAGCTGTGCTCCTCACGAGCGAGCAGGCAAGGCCACAGCAGAGGAGCAGGCAGAGCTGCTGCCAGCATTTCTTGGCAGTGCAGTTGGGAGTTGGCTGTAAAACAGGGAGAGAGAAAGGAGCATGGGACAGGAGGGAAAGCTGAGATGGGGTAGAGAATAAATCCAGTAAAAAAACCCACAGAAGTGTCAGAGTTGGAAGGGACCTCTAGAGATCCTCTAGTCCAACTCCCCTGCTAAAGCAGGATTACCTGGAGCACATTGCCCAGGACTGCATCCAGGTGAGTCTGGCTTGTCTTCAGAGGACTCCCCAGCCTCGCTGGGCAGCCTGTAATTCAGCTTTTGTAAGATTAATATGGTAAGAGATGACGTTGTTGGGGCTTTTTGTTTATTTTTTCATTTTTCCTTCTTCAGGCCTAAAACTGGAAGGAAATCAGGGGGATCCTCTGCAGCAGGCACCCATAGTTCCCAGCTCTACCCACAGTCCCGAGGGCTGGTTCCAAAGTAAAACCAGCAGTTCCTCTCCAGGGCACCAACAGCCTTTGCCTTCCAAGAGCAGAGACAAGTGGGAACCTGCAGTGAGTCCTTCCCGGGCCCTGGCCCCGTTCCCTGGAGATGGCCTCTTTGCTCCTTAACTGACTGGTGCCAGCCCAGGGGCACTGAGCCTCAGGAAGATCAGCGCTTGCAGTTCAGCCTTTGGCCTATGTGGGGAACAGATTTTAGTTAGGAAACCAGAAATGCATGAGGTACGTTCAAGTGTATTAGAAGCAATGGGAAGCCCAGGGATCACCTGGCAGCATCACCCTCTGTCCTGCGCTGCCCTGGAGCTGCACTGGGCGTTTTAGCTCTTGGGCAGTGAGAAGATGGAGTTGAAAGTCTCATCTCAACTGAACCACCACTCCAGAGCTCCACCATGACAACCATAAAAAGCAGTGTATCCGTTCCAGCTTGACTAGGTGCATAGTTTTTCCTCTTCCTGCTGGGAAGGCTGGCATCATTTGGAGTCAGGAAGCGGCTGGGACAGGCAGGATGGCAGCATGTGCTCACCAGCAGACAGCTGTGCCTCCCTTGAGAGCTGCAGGACCAAAAGAGGGGTCTTGAGAGTAACTTTGTGCTCTCCAGAAAGGAAGCCATAGGAACTGAAGTCCTCTCCTTGTTTACAGGCCTAAGTGAGAGCTCCTCCAACCTGCCCTCCTACAGACCTCCCTCCTACCAGCAGGAACCACCTTGTCAAAGAACACATCTGCCTACCCTGCCAGCTCCACAGCCTCCTTCCTCTCTCCAGCCTCCCTCTCTACCCCTGGCATTTCAAACCAGTGCCCATCCACAGTCTGTCAGCCATGGGGCCATGTCCTGTCTCTGCTCTCCCTCCCAGCTGGGCAGAGTCCTGGGATGTGGAGCTGCCTGGGAACACACCCTTCCCACAGGCACGATCCTTTCTGTGCTGCCTGGGGAGGTTCCGCGTTTGGTGCCTCTTGTGCCTCACTTGTTCCACGTTAGAAGCTTTCCCTTTGCACCTCCTGGCCATGTAGAGCCTGCTGGGGATGGAAGCACATATAACCCAGCCTGGGAAGTGGGATCTGGTGTTAATTCCAGGGGTTTTACTTTGCAAACAAGGGAGGAAGAACTCCTGCTTTTTGATGGTCTCTCTGCAAAGCTGCCCTATGACTAAAGCAGGCTCCTGGGATGCTGCAGCCTCGTGTGGCAGGTGGAGGGAGGTGGAACTGCCACACCAAGGACAGTAAGGTGTCCCTGTCTAGTGTCACAGCTCATCTGTAAGTTTTAGTTCACTGTATATTGGGACTTGGGATGTTCATTTTTCCTCTCGCTGTTGTCCCATGAACGTTTTTACCCATTTCCCTCCCTGATGATCCCCTCCAGACTGACACGTGTGAGCACGTGAGGACGTGCCTGGTTTTAGAAATGTTCTGCTGTGTGGACTCTGCCTTGTGCTCTCATCCTGTGCCTGCTGAGTGGCCCCACCCAGCTGGGGGGACATCCCCCCACCATCAGGCCCCGGGTGCTGGGCATAGCTCACCTGCCCCCTCCCTCCTGTGGGCAGGGTGAGCACACCCCAGCTCAGCTGCTGGGGTTCATGGAGTGCTCTTCTGGACCACAAGATTGAGATTTATATATACACACATATATGCATATATATATATATTAGTTTGTGGGGAGGAGCAAGCAGTTTGCTCATGGCTGAGAGAGCAGGCATCTGACACTTCTCTTTCAACCTGAACACAGAAACCTGGCATCAGCCTCTTCTTCCTAAAGCACTGCTGATGTACAGAGAGCCTTGGAATTGGCTCTCACAGCATAATATAACATCCCCTTCTCTTCCCTCTCCTCCCTCTTTTTCTCTAGCACATTATCTTCTGTATGTGGATGTTGTAAAAGATGATTTTATGGTGCAAGTGCTCGGAGAACTGAAAACGAGGGGCTCAGGATCCTGAGACAGCAACAAACCTGTAGGCACGTGGGTACATACCATGTACACATATGTTCAGTGTCCATACACAGACATAGCTGTGTCTGCATGTGCACACACCTCCCTGGTCCCTACTGTTCCATAGGAATTTATATTAAACTCATATGCTGGAAACTCCCCCCAGGGCTGGTCCAGTGGAAATGGCTGTGCAAACCCCAGCTGGTCTGCTGTAGTGTTGATAAGCTGGCTGGTGACTCTGTCAGCAAGGCCCTGCTTTTAATTGTTAGAAGTAAATTAGCAAGGTGAAAGAAATTCATTAGGGTGGAAAAAAAGAATAAAATTGCATATTTAGTCATGGTACTTAAAGGGGAGGTGTGGGTGGTGTAGTGGGCAACTCCAGATCCTTACAGAAGCTTTTAGAGTCTCATTCCAATGGACTTGCCCTCATCCAGGCACTCAGCAGCACTGATACTAATACTACATGATGTCTTAAGCTGTACAAAAATGTGCTGAGCTCTGGCTTGGAGTTTTTAAGACACATTC